GGGAGAACCTGGCCTTCAAGCCGGTGAGGACGTTGATGACTTTGCTCTCCGTCTCAACACTCTGCTGCGAGAAGATGGTGTAGTTGGCGATGACACTCTACGGCGAGGAGAGAGCGTCGAAAAGCTCTTCCGCCACGTCCCGAGAAGTACAAGCGGATGGCTCGCTCGATCGAGTCTTTCTTTGGATCTCTCCACGATGTCGATCGAGGAGGCGATAGGTCGCCTCAAGGTCGTCGACAAATGATGAGCCTGATCTCTCGGGGCCCATCACCATTTGGCGGAAGCTCCTCACTCGGGAGCGGTGGCTTGCCGACCAAGGTGACCGGAAGAAGGGGAGCCTTCTTCCGCGACAGCGGCCGCAGCGTGGCAAGCCGCAGAGACGCCGGTGCCGGGCGCGAGGACGTGCCGAGGGTGATGCCCGTGAGGCGCGCTTAGGCGGCGGCGCGCAAGACGAGACGACGCCGCCGCAAGCTGCGGCCAACTTGGCCATTGGGCCAAGGGATCGTTGACGACCACGACGCGGCTAGGCCCACGTCGCAGACAAAGCGAGGAGGAGCCGGCTCTGTTCATGGCACATGCAAGCATCGAGCTACCTCCGGTGCACCGACCGCCGCAGCTGCTCTCCTCCACCTTGATGAGCCAAAAGCACACGCCTCCTCGGCGACAGCTCCAAGAGCGACAAATCGGACGGGTGGTGCCTCGACACCCCGGCGCCACCCATCATATGACCGGTCAGCGGAGTTCTTCACCGAAAGCTAGACTCTAGCGTCCCGAGGCTCCGTCATCTTCACCGCCGTTTACGGTGAGCACAGTACGCTCACCAAGTCTACTACATCCCGCGTTGAGGAACTCCATCATCGACTTTGGGACGGTGGATGAGAACGGTTCGCGCATGGTGGTTGAGGACGGAGTCATGAGGATTTGGGATCGTCGTCGCCGCCTTCTTGCCAAGGTATCGAAGCGCAAATCGACTCTCGCCCTTAACGCCCCGGTGGCACAACCCTCTGTCTCGCCGCTCGTCGGGACGACGAGGCGTGTGCGATAACGCAGCGTTTGGGCACCTTCACTTTGAGGCCACAAGCGGCTCGGGGGCCACGGAGATGGTGCGAGGCCCGCCGTGCCTCGACCATGTGGAGCAGCTTCTGCGACGTCTGCGTGTTGACGAAGCAGGCGACTCCCCTTTCCCTCAATGGGCGAAGCCGAGCCAAGGAGAGGCTCGAGCTTGTGCGGGACTTGTGTGGCCGGTGACACCGCCACACCGGGAGAACGACGCTACTTCCTCGCCGCTCGTCGACGACCTCTCTCCGCTACATGTGGGTGATGGTCTTGGCGGCAAGGGGAGAGCTGCATGGACGCCATCAGCCTTGCAGTTGCTGAGGAGATCTTGCCGGCCGAAGGCTGCAGCGTCTTGCAAGACAAACAACGGCGGCGAAATTCAGCGACTAAATTTGCGTCGTCAGATCGGCCGACGAGGGCATTGGCGCCACTACTCCGCTACCAGATGGCCCGCAGCAGCGAGAGCGGCGTCGTCGAGCAGCGCAACCAGGCGGTTGTGGGGATGGCTCGGGCCCTCAAGAGAGGGGATGCGGTATCTTTCCGGGAAGAGGCGGTGGTGACGGCCGTCTACATCCTCAACCGCCGCCTACCAAAGGCGCTTTCGACAGTAGGGCGCCGTCACGAGACGAGGTTTGGCATGGGCGCAAGCGGCGGTCTCCCACTTGCGGGTCTTGGTACGCCTCGCGTTCGCCAAGGAGCTTGGCCACATCAGCAAGCTCAACGACAGGAGCACTCTGGGAGTGTTCATCGGCTACGCGGAGGGCTCGAAGGCCTACCGCATCCTCGACCCGATGACAGCGCGTGCGCACGGCGCGCGACGTTGTGTTCGACGAAGGGCAAGGATGGGCATGGGACAAGGCAGTGGACGACGGCTCGGCTCCAACGTACGACGACTTCACTGTCGAGTACGTCCACTTCGAGGGAGCTGGGGGAGTAGGCAGCTCGTCTTCGACGAGCGCGTCTACCCCAGTCCCCGAGCCTCCACCGACCCCAGCGCCTGCTACTCGGACAGCACCACGCTCTCCAGCCAGGACCTCGGCTGCGATGAGTTCTTCGCCGGCAACGCCACGCACTCTAAGCACCGACAGGCACCTCTCCGGGCACGTATACACCACCAGCTCGTGTCGAGCACAGCCCGGTTGAGCTCGCTACTCCGCTCTCTCACGACGAGGAGCGCATCGACGCGTACCACGACGGTGAGTCGTTGCGGTACCGTACGATGGAGAACCTTCTCGGTGACCAACCGGGACCGGTGCCTCACGACCTGGAGGCGCAGTTGCACCTTGCGTGTGACTATGGCGAGCCTCGGTCGTTTGCAGAGGCCGAGAGACGTGGCATGGCGCGCCGCGATGCAATTGGAGATGGATGCTGTTGAGAAGAACCGCACCTGGGAGCTTGCTGATCTTCCTCGCGGTCACCGCACGATCACCCTTAAGTGGGTGTACAAGCTGAAGAGGGATGAAGCCGGCGCCATCGTCAAGCACAAGGCTCGCTTGGTGGCACGAGGTTTCGTGCAGCAGGAGGGGGTCGACTTCGACGACGCCTTTGCTCCCGTGGCACGGGTGGAGTCCGTGCGACTCCTCCTTGCGCTAGCCGCCTAGGAGGGCTGGCGTGTTCATCACATGGACGTCAAGTCGGCGTTCCTTAACGGCGACTTGAAGGAGGTCTACGTGCACTAGCCGCCGGGATTTGCGATCCCCGGCAAGGAGGGCAAGGTGCTCTGCCTGCGCAAGGCCCTCTATGACTTGCGGCAGGCATCGAGGGCGTGGAATGCCAAGTTGGATTCCACGCTAAAGGGGATGGGCTTCGAGCAAAGCCCGCGCACGAGGCGGCCACATCTGGGCGGGGCGGTGGAGGAAATGCTGCTCACTGGTGGGTGTCTCGTCGACGACTTGGTGATCACCGGCACCAAGGATGCCGAGGTGGCGGCATTCAAGGAAGAGATGAAGGCCACCTTCCGGATGAGTGACACAGGGCCTCTCTCCTTCTACACGGGGATCGAGGTGCACCGGGATGACTTGAGATCACGCTTGACTGCATCGCCCACGCCAAGCGCGTCGTTGAGCTAAATTTGGGCTCACCGACCGCAACCAGCTCTCACTCCGATGGAGGAGATGTGAAGGCGAGCAGCGACGAAGATGAGCGGAGGAGGTGGGCGCTACGTACCGGCGTCTTGTGGGGAGCCTTCGCTACCTCGCCCACACACGGCCGGACTTGGCATTCTCCGTCGGCTCACGTTAGTCGGTTAATCACATGACCGACGACGGAGCACCGGCCAGTCGTGGAGCGGATCATCCGCTACGTTATGGGACTCTCGACCACGGCCTCTACTACCCGAGGTGCCACTGGGCGCACACGCCGTCGGAATGCAGCGACCACTTGGCGACATCGACACCGGCAAAACACGAGCGAGATCTCTTCTTCCTCGGCAAGTGCCTCGTTAAGCTGGCGATCGGTCAAGCGGCAGTGGTGGCCACTGTCATTGCATGAGGCCGAGTACATAGCGGCCTCCACCGCTTCGACTTCGGCGCGCCTGGCTCACCCGGCGCTTGGTGATCTCCTCGGCAGAGACACTAGAGCGGTGGAGCTCTGGGTGGACAAACAAGTCCGCCTGCCCCGCAAACAACCCCGTTTTCCATGAGCAGAGTAAGCACATCCGGGTGAGGTACCACTTCATCCGAATTTGTTTGGAGGACGGGAGCATCAAGGCGAGCTACATCAACACCAAGGATCAACTTGCGGACACCGCTTACCAAGCCTCTTGGGAGGATCAAGTTCCTTGAGCTCTGCTCCAGGACCGGGATGGTTCAACTTTCCCACAAGACGACGCACAAGACTTAGGGGGAGAATGATGGATAAGTCTCTGTGTTGTGTTGGCTGGTCTGGTCTTTGTGGGGCTGCTAGCTATTCTTTGCATCTTTGCCACAAGGATATGCCATGGGGCTCTTTGGTACATTCTTTGTCTTTGCCACAAGGGCTGATTGTTATATCTTTGCCACAAGGACAGCATCCTTCACTGGCTAGGACAACATCTTAGCATCTAGGATTAGCATCTAGGACAACATCTTAAACTAGCATCTAGAGGACAGCATCTTAGCATCTTAGACTAGCATCTTGGCATATGCTTGGCTGGCTAGCAGCCTATAAATATGTATCCCCAACCCCTCAGGTTGGTAATGGTATTTGTGTGAGTTTGTGTGAGAAATAAACCAGAAAATTGCCCCAACTCCTAGTGTCATCCTCTCTCGATGAGAGTAAGAATTCTGCTACTACCGAGAGTGAGAGTTCAACGACTAACATGGGGACGCACATATGCCAGGAATAGAAGGGCCCGGGATGCCAGGCGTGCAGCAACGCGCCAGGGCGACGCGGCCGCCGCGGTCACCACGGCAGGCACCAGCGCAGGGGTCGGTTTAGGAAGTGGCTAGAATAAAGGGAAGCCAATCAAGGGAATGGCTAGAATAAAGGAAAGAAGGCCTCTAATTTAGGAGTGATTTGTTAGAGTCTGTTAAGGCTATAGCCTATAAAGAGTCCTTGTAATCCATCATTTTGGGAGGAAGCAAGAACAATTACTTCTCCTTCTTCCCCTCTCAACAGAACGGGCGCTGAGGGGTAAAACCTCGCCCCAACACGGATCACGGCTACGAACTACGTAGCCGGGGTGCGCCTACCCTACCCCTCGACGCCCTTGACAGGAATAGATAACATGCCTTTATTTTTTTTAGTTGATAGTGCCATGTCATACACTGATACTTGTTATGGAATAAATATGCTAATAGAATTTGGGCGAGAATGTTTGGTGAGTGTATGGATCGTTGGGTCTGAATAAAGATGATGAGTTTCACTGTCGTTCCTAGCTTTAGGTGCATAGCGTGTGTGCTTACTTTTCCAGTAAGCACTCTTTAGATCTGTACTAATGCTCAGCTGTTTGATGACCATTTCAGGTTTCTATTCCTTTGGGTACACATGATAAGTGTCCCATTTCAGTTTCATTGATTGCTAGGCATGGTGGTGATCGGTTTTTGTTGGACACCACTCAAACCATGTATACGACCATCCAAGAGCAAGTGGAAATACTAGCGAAATCTAGTGTTTCAAGTAAACAGGCGATGAATGAAGAAGCAGCTGAAGCTGCTAAAGAGAAAGTTAGTTTTTCTTATTGCACATTCTTGTAGGATGTAAAATTTTCTAACTCGTGCAAATCCTCTAGTAGCACTTTGGCTTAACAGCAATAAAACAATGTTCACTTAGAAGAACCTTATGGCATCAAATAAAGTTAATTTTTCTTATTGTGCATTCAATGTATCAAAGAACAACCTGATGGTAGTTCACTTAAGATACATAGTCCTACTGTGCCAACAGTCTTGGGCATACTTATTTCTCATATATGCCCTGCTCAATCAAGTATTACCACTTAGTAACACTATGTTGCAATACGAACCAAATCTTTCTTGGAGGATTAGTATGTTAACATTGTTCTTACTAGTTTTCTTTTTACCGTTTGCTTCTCGACAGGGTAATGCTGCATTTAAGGAAAAGCAATGGCAGAAGGCAGTAAATTTCTATACTGAAGCAATAAAGTTAAATGGAAAAGTGGCTACATACTACAGCAACAGAGCTGCTGCCTTTCTAGAATTAACTAGGTATGGTTTCCCCCTATCTAGCATCTTTTTTCTTAAAAAATTTAATGATTTGACATGAGTGTTTTTTCAACACTTGTTGCTTGATGGTTCCTTTCAGCTACCGTCAGGCTGAGGCAGATTGCACAAGTGCCATCGACCTTGATCCAAAGGTTAGGTCCTGCTTTTTTGTATTTTGGGCTTTTGCATTTTATTACAGAGCAATGTGCAATGGATGTTATTCTAATGTATTCAGTACATGTGAAATTAGAATGGAACCTATGATGTTGCAATTTGTATTAAAACTTCCATATGGATGTGCAGGGAAACATCCCAATGATTTTCTACTGTACTTATCATTAGTAGACTTCTTTGTTCAAATTTTTAAACATTGGACACATTTGATTTTGGTTGATGTTTCGATGGGTACTGCAATTTTTTCCCGAAATAATCAGTTTGCTATTTGCTATATATTCTAACTTCAATCCATTTGTCGTTGATAGAGCGTGAAAGCTTATTTACGGAGAGGCACTGCAAGGGAGATGCTAGGTTATTATAAGGACGCCGTTGATGGTCAGTCTTGCCTTTTCCCCTCTAGTTAATACCATATGCAAGGAATTGTCTGTTTTGTTTGATAACCAATGGACTTGATTTGATTGTGACCATGTCTTATCTGCAGATTTCAACCATGCCCTTGTTCTAGAACCAATGAACAAGACGGCTGGTGTTGCCATTAACAGGTTAAAGAAGTTGTTTCCGTAAATATGAAGTTGAATTGTTTCTGCATGAAGATGTGGTGACCTCAGATTTTGTGCACACAAGTTGTGCGTGTCCGGGGGGGTGGAATTGAAGTACCTGAGTTCAACCGACAGATGCTACAGATGCTCTACGCTTTCACAAGGTACCTAATGATCACAGTTTGAGCTACTGGGAACAAATTTGAACACAGTGATCAGGTTAAGGGTCACTTTAGCTGTTTCTTCCCCCCCAAAGTTTTGGAAAAGCAAAATAAAACTCAAGTCTTTGGGAGTTGATCATAGACTTGTGGTAAACAATGTCTTCAAAAGTGGTTTACGGGTGTCCGCGATCCCCACCATGTATAATATGGTTCCGCCAATTATTTGTTCAAACGCTTTGCCAATAAAACTTTTTTGCCATGCTTACCTGTACCCATCTCTCTTTGCCGTTCGGAGCTGCAGCTTTTTTTGGGCTGCCACCGGTGAGGTCGCTCGTGGAGGCTGTTAGGCCGCCATGTGCTGACGCGCAATTGCTTCGCCGGCTGAACCAAGCCCTTTCAGTTTCGGTTGTTTGCTTGTTGCTGTCAGTGTCACTGAAATTTCCTGTATTATAGTAGCGGCTGTCTGCGTCAAATGATGCGTGCCTAATCGTATGTGGGTGGATTGCTTAACAAGAGATACCCCGTCCTGTGCGTGGGCGTGCAAGTGGCCCTGAGGGCTGAGGCTAATTCCTGTTCCAACGGATGGGTGACTCGGTGATTGCTATTGTTAGGCGTAGGCTGTTGGGTTGGTTTTGGGCCATGTACAGGAGCGCTACTGTGCTCCAGCCTAGCTCGTTACCCTGATTGTATAGTACTCAGCTACTGCTAGTGAGCTGCGAACATTAGACGTTGCATGTTCGCAACTTATCAGCCACGGTACGGTATTACTTTTCAGCTTTACTTTTCAGCGAATCGAACAGGGCCGGAAGCGCGACGCCGTGCTGTCATATCGCGTGAAGCCTAGCAACGGCGCCCTGCGAGAAGAAAGCTACAGTTCACCACGGCGAATAGAGTAGCAGCCGTGAGAATCACTGATTGCTCCAGTTGTTACGCCTATCTATCTAACCAGTTCTTAAAAAAAAATCTATCTAACCAGCCAGCCAGGGGCTTAGGACTGGAGGAGGAGGAATCATTGGCAGCAGCGAGAACAGCTGCTGGTTTGACGGGTACGGGGCGGGGCGACACGGGCGAGGCTAACACGGCAGTGCCGGCGTCCTCCCCTCTCCCAGTGCTGCTCCTTGACGACGACGTGAACGAACGGGACCGGTCAACCGGCGCCGAATGCGTTCTCTCTATCATTGGAACTTGGAAGTGAAAAGCGATCCTCAGCCGCACCCGCACCCGCACGGTGGAGGAGCGCTCCTTTGACTTGGCTTCCACTACCACGCCCTGCCCAACGGAGGAGGGCGCCGTAGGTGCGTGTGGTCGTAAACTAATCGTGATCGGGACCCGAACCCGAAGCTCAGCCCCTTTTCGCGAAGCTGGAGCAAAGAAAACATCCCCCCTTGCACGAGCGGGTCAGGATAGAAAGGTCCGGCATCAACTCAACATACACACTGGCAGTTGCCAAAGCTGCGAGTACTTTTTATAGTGGAGAGTATTTGGGCATTTGGCTAACCAAACCAGGTCGCAAAGGTAAACATATTTTCCTTTGCTCCCTAAAAAAAGGTAAATATATTTTCATTTAGAAATTCTGCACAAGATGTGTACGTTGAAGGTTTTTCTTCAGCGGGTTACCATGGGCCATATATAGGGGCCTTATCACGGAACTATTATTTGGGGCGACGAGTACCATGGAATTTCTCTGTGCGATCACAATCATATCTCCCGAGCCCAGAAAGGATGAGAGCACCAGGTACACGGTACACCACCGAAACTGAAAGCCGTGAAGTGAACACACAGACAACATCATGCGGAACGCACCGAGTGGACGGACGGGACGGGGGAGCCTAGCCTCAAGCCCTCAACACTCAACAGGAGCAGCATGAGCACGAGCCAGCAGGGCCCCAGCCGGCCAGCCCTCCATGTGGCGGGTAGGTACGCCGTACGTGTTCCTTCCTGCTGCTCGGAGCTCGGTGGCTCCGCGCGCGCTTGGCTAGGCTGAGCCCCCCCTTCTGATCCGGGTCCGCCGGGACCATGCAATGCAACGCAACGCACATCAACGGAACTGCGCCGTGACCACAGTTCAGGCTTGAGTGAGAGACGAGACGGCGGGGCTGTACGTACGCGAGAATGAGGAGGGGTTTGACCACTCTCCGGACCGTCGTAAAGAGTATTCGAGGCTCGGTTGGCGAGTCGCCGTGGCCTCCGCAGGCTCACGTACACTAGCTAGCTGCCTTGTGCCCTCTGATTAGAGTTACTGTGCCCTACTCGTGGTGCATCGTCGCTGAGACATCTTGTCCCTCCCCGACTCGACCTCGACACCGGCAGCGGCAAGGTCTTAATTCCACAACGTACCCAGTTCTCTCTCCAACAAGTGACCCAAGCAGTATATGGTTAGGAGTATACTTTTCCAAATGGCACACGGCACTAAAAAAAGCCCAGCCCAGGCCTCGCTTGCGTTCGTGCCGCGTGCGGCACTGCTACGACCCGACAAAGCGGTGTGTTTTCAGGCCGCCACCTCGGCCCGCTAGCACGGCCGTGCGCAGACGGCTAACGGGCCGCACGGCCTTGGCACGGATCCAGCAAAGGAGGGCCGTTGATCCCCTCCCCCAAATCCTTCATGACCGTTGGATCCGACTGTTGGATGGGTCGACTATATAAGCCAGCGCCCCCACGCCGCCCCGTATCGACGAAACCCTAGCTCATTTGTTTCCAGCTCCCTCTCTCTCCTGTCTCTCGCTCTAACCTCTGCGAGCGGCTCTCTCCTCTCTTCGTCTCCCTCTCCGGTGGTGTCTCCTCTCTTCTTCTCGCCCTCCGGTGGCATCTAGAGCCACCGCCGCTTCAAGAGACGCAGCACCCAGCACGGCCTCGTCTTGATCTCGCCCCGTTGATGTAGCCTTGTCGTCCACCTCGTCGTCTCATTCGTCACCGTCGTCGACCTCGCCGGGTCCCCGGCAACTCTGGTGCTCCGGATGTCGATAAGTTGAGCTTTTCTCCCCTCCAGATCTGGCTCTTCCTCTCTTATCCCCTCCTGGATCTCGATCTAATGTGCTCCCCTCCTGTAGGTCCCCTCTTGATTCGCATCCATCGAGGAACCAGAGGGCCGGATCCCGCGTTGTCGACGTCGCCAGCGTTCCCGGTGCTCCGGCCGCCAAGGTACTGTAAACCCTAACCCTAACTAGATCTGCTACTGATTCTTTGTTTATGTGTGAAGCCGTTGAGGAACCGGGCACCGGCGAGTGACGATGGCCCGCTCCTCCGACGAGACCGTTGAGGTCAACGCCAACGATGAGAGGCGGATGTGCGGGCTAGCCGGAGATGACGACGAGGATGACCTGCGCGAGGACGCTGCAGAGCTGTTCGGCCGTCGCATTGAGGATCCCATTGAAGGCGATGATGGCGGCAAGAATGATGCAAATAGGGGCGAAGAAGAAGGAGAGGATGACAACGACGACAAGCGCTCACGTCCTTCTACCTCGGCTGTGTGGCTCGATTTCAAGAAGTTGTTCAAAAAAGGTCCCAAAGGTAAGAAGATCGGGTATGCCGCTCGCCGCATCCTTTGCAATCAGCAAGATCTGCTCTCTCTAGTGGTGGCTTTGGTCACCTCCTCGTCATAGGGACAAATGTGTTAAGAGGCGTGAGAAAACTCGCATGACTCGATCTCGAGATATCTTTTAATCTCGATGGTAGTATGCGTGCTTGGGAGTATCTTGTCCTATTGTTGCTTACCTTTGAATCGGTTCGATTGCTTTCTAGACTTGATGTGCCTATCTGTATGGGTGGCCGATGCTTTTATGATTACATTAGAAATGCTCATAATCCAAAGTTTGTTCCCGTCTCTAGACAAACCACCACTAGAGACATAGTCAAATACTTCAGCGATAAAAAAGACTAAGCTTGTTGAGACTCTTAGTTCATACGCTATAAATTGTGTTTGTCTTATCTCTGACATTTGGTCTGGTAATGCCAAAGAGGACTATCTTAGTGTGGTTGCTCATTACATAAATCCTGATTGGCAACTAGAGAAGAGGGTGTTTGATCTTGTGCTTATTGATGTGTCCCACAGTGGATAAAACATTGCTGAAAGGGTTATATCTGTGCTTGTTGATTAGGGTTCAACTGAAAAGGTCTTTGCTGTTACTTTGGACAATGCCTCATCTAATGTTTCTGCCATGCGTACACTTAGGCCTGTACTGTCTAAATATCTTGGTATTCAAGTACCCCCTGATAATGATAGAAATGAAACTGATAATGAAGTTAGTACTTTGTTCATGCATCAGCGCTGTGCATGTCATATCATAAATCTGATTGTTAAGGAGGTCCTTAATGCTCTTCAGCCTTTGATTGAAACATTTAGAACTGCAATATCATTTCTGAATTCATCTAACCAGAGAATTGTTGCATACAAAAGTTACTGTATTGCCACTGGTGTTAGACCTAGGAAATTTCAGCTGGACATGGAGGTAAGGTGGAATTCTACATATCTGATGCTCAAGCATTTGTTTCCTCACCAGACTCCTTTCACTACTTTCATGCATGCTCACTATCCTAGGGGTGAAGGTGGTCAGTTGCTTTTAACTGATGAATATTGGGCTGTTGGACAAAAAGTATTTAAATTTCTTGAATTGTTTTATGATGCTACCGTTGCTTTGTCTGGTGTGTACTATCCTACATCTCCACTTATAATTTATTATCTAGTTAAGATTGCTATACACCTAAAAAACTATGGTAATGACACTCACCTCAGACATGTGATTCAACCAATGATAGACAAATATAATAAATATTGAAGGGATATTCCTTTGCTATATTCTTTTGCATTCATCTTGGATCCTAGAGCTAAAATGAAAGGTTTCAGCAGAGTACTGAGGAGGTTGGGTAG